ATCTTTCTGTTCCTTCTGGAACACCGCCGGATTCCATATCGATGTGCCCTGTTCGTCTGATGCTTGTCTCGTCAACATGTTATTTACATTATCCGATTCTTCTACCCGTAGGGCTTCTTTCTTTGTATGAGACCTAGTTTGTGCCAGCGTAATTCGCTGCGTCTTTAACCACTCATAGATATATTTTTCTGAAGGATTACCTATACCTGGACCGTTAGCAAGGATTAGGTCATACGGGCCCTTTTTAAACACCACCGCTTTCACCTTACCTGTATAGAAAGGGGTATCGATATGTATTATCGCCACAGGCCACGTGTTCGCTACACCACCAAAACCTTCAACCTCCAATGATTGTCCTGTGTATTCATGTGGTTCAACTAAGTTACATCGAACCCCACAAATATTTGCACCCGTATCTCTCAATGTATCAACTATTCTATCCCCCACTCTACATTTGATAGTACATAATTTAGTGGGAGGTTCACTATCAAATACAAGACCTAGTCATCTTCTGTCCCTCGGCGTATCAACACCATACCGTCGGTCGCCATTTAAGTTATGATTCCCACCACCACCGTTCCTGCATTGTCTATTCACGTGTCCCGTTCGGCCACACTTGAAACATCTTATCGGTCTCTGGTTAAAAGACGTGCTACTACAAGGGCAATCCTTATGAGAGTACTGATTACAGTGATAGCAGTTACTTCCCCTGGGTAACGAGGAGGATCTATTATCTGATCTATTATATAGGCCCTCATCCCTGTATGAGCTTCTACCTCTCCCCGATTGTGAAGATTGGGCGGTAAAAATAGTGGGCGCCATTGGTATTGAGTCATTCGCGACTGGTCTATCAGGGTGAGCAGCCTGATATTTTTGGCAGAGATCTGTTATCGTTGGCAAGTCGCGAGGTAACTAAACAAGTCCCTATCAACCGAACAAAGAACCTTGTCCACCAGGAAAAATTCCTGTAAGTTATCGGCAGTTCGTTCTAAACCAGAGGCCTCAAACCACTTGTTGAATGTGACACTAATCTCGTTGATGAATATTTTAAAATCATCCGAGTTACTAGGTTTTAAATTACGGAACTTCTGGCGGTACGCATCTTCCGTGAGGTGATAATATTCTAGCAGAGTCTGTTTTAATATTTTAAACTCCTTCATCTGATGTTCAGTCAGACTCTGGCAGGCATCCAGCCCCCTACCTCCAATTAGCACGAGGAGTTGGGTGCCCCATTGGGATTCAGGGACATTAGTTGACCTAGCAACGGTTTCAAACCGACGAATGAACGAATCAAGATTGTCCCTACCTTCCTCATATTTCGGGATCTTACCCAATATTCCCAGTCCCGTACTATCACGGTCCCTATTGTCTGTTACTGTTACCTGATGCCTGGATTCCTCCAGGCGTACTTGTAATCGAAGCTTTTCAAGTTCTAACTCAGCCCTACTCTGTTGATCGGCCAGCCTAAGTTTTTCTAATTCTATTTCCGCTCTAGACTTTTCCGTTAGTCTAAGTCTTTCTAAATCTAGCTCTATCTTCGCCCTTTGTTCAGCGATCGCAATATCTAATTTGGCCTCACTAGTCTTACGCTCATGTTCTGCATTAATCTGATGCTGCGCCCAATCATCCAGAGCTTCGCCTGAATAGCCTAGCCTTTCCCCCAACTCAAAAAGGAGACCCAGATGTTCGGCCGTTCCCATACCGAACCGTGTACCACAATGATGGGTAATAACAATGGAGGAATAAATTACCAAGAAAGCCAACAGTCGCAGTGATTATCTGCAGGCGGGGGTCCTAACGTTATCTTCTAACAATAACGCCCTCTCCCAGGTATGTCCCCCACCTGAAGATAAACAGAACCTACTGGACAATAGAGGAATCGCTTAGAATCCTCCCACCCTAACCGCCCTTATGAAGTAAGCGATGGAGGAAACCATAAACTATACAAATATTAAATGCTATCTAAGAATGAAGGAAAAGGTACTTATCTTTAAATAATCCAAAGCTTGTATCCCACGATGGTGTCAGACGGTGCGCACTCGGTCCACTCTCCACGTCTGTAGTCCTGAACTTGATTGGAGTCAATAGACGATCAGAGACCCGATATGGTCGCTGGATATCGTAACGGTCGAACAGAAGTCCGTCTCTGCCCAAACGATAACGACTCGAGCAGCTAAATCAAGTGTCGAAAGGTCCATTCACGGTCCAAGGTCAGGCGAATCTGGCACGGCTGTAGATCACGGTGCACTGCAATAGATGGCGGGCGAATCTGGTACGGCTGTAGATCACGGTGCACTGCAATAGTTGGCAGGCGAATCTGGCACGGCTGTAGATCACGGTGCACTGCAATAGATGGCGGGCGAATCTGGTACGGCTGTAGATCACGGTGCACTGCAATAGATGGCGGGCGAATCTGGTACGGCTGTAAATCACGGTGCACTGCAATATTTGGCAGGCGAATCTGGCACGGCTGTGGATCACGGTGCACTGCAATATTTGGCAGGCGAATCTAAATGCAGGCGTGTTGCGGCAAACGATAGGCGTAGTGTAGATCACAACGGTTGTTAGGAAGAACCATCGGGTGGATGTACGTTGTTCTACTGCGTTGAGCAACCAGCTGCTCCACCATCTGTTGTGAGTTGAGGACAGGGTCGACAAGAAACCAACACGAAGTCCGTTCACAATTCGTTACTTTTATTGCTTGTAAGATCACACAACCTAGGATGCCTATAAGAGAATGCACCCCCTAATAATCCTAACCCCACCTTTTATACCCCACCTAACATCTAAGTTTTCTGCGCTCTATGTCACATCCCTCCCAATCGTTCCTATGCTACAAAATGTGTGTGTACTATTTATTTACATTCTTTGATCTCAATATACTAAAATAGACTATAGATTGAAGGTTAATGGAAACACGTAAACAAAAGGGACGCTACTCTAAATCTACGTAAATACTTATATGTAACAATCCTAACACTTATACGGAAACCGGCTCAGAAGGTTCACTTCCATTAGCCAGGCAGGCCTCAGTGTGGCAAACCCTACCATAAGACCAAGTTTCCCACACATCGGTCGCTACTTCCGTCGGCTCTCACCGGGCTTTCCTTCCCCACCCACCAGACGCGGGACGTCGTCCTACCGCCTGGTACCCGGCTTGATCGTGGGGGGGGCGTTCGACCATTTTTCTTGAGCCTAGCGCATACAGCAGCTCTACTCGGCCAGATCAAAAACCTCTAGCTGCTGTTGGCTACCACTAGCCATTCCGCACCCACTAGGGGGGGTCATGAGCTTGGTCCGACTAGTGGCACTCTTCCGAAGCCACGTGAAGTCAAGATATCTGGTTAGGGTCGAGAGCAAACCCCTCTTGGTTCCCGGCAGTCTTGCACCTCTCCTCCCCCACGCTAATATGTAGGGGACTTGGGAGTCCGACGCACCAGGCTCTTCGGAAGGATACCTTTACTAATGTTTAGGAAGAGACCCACGCTTTTCTTTATAGTTATTTAAATATTAGTCTATAATTTATTTTCTACTTTTTAGTGCATTAGTACATAAAAGCTTGTTATTAAAATGCTTTTTATGAAAAAAAATTGTTAGTACTTTTTATGTTTTTATTTACAATAGAGTTTCATGACTAAAAACCATTGCGCGCCTATTGAAACGTGATGGCGCGCTGTTGAACGTAATGACGCGTGTGGTGTGGTTCGATAGACATGCCTACTAATTCGGTCACAATTTTAATTAATTCATAAAAAATTAAATAGGCATCCAATTAAGTCAAATTTAATTTCAGATTGCATTGTCTTCATGTCTTGGCCCACGTGCCAAGTGTGAACCGTATCGGTCAAGTAGAAGTGTCCGAAGTTTCACTCCAGCGTTTCGATCTAGACTGACGACTGACGACAGAGGAAGCGAGTTAAATAAAAGCTTGTAAAAAAAGGGTGTTGGGCCAAGGGTTAGAAGGGCTAAGACAATACTTCGCCCTCCCCTCCCCCGTCCACAACACGCAGGATATCTCACCCCACCAACATAACAGAAGCTATCCCCCCCCCCATGCCATTTATCCCGTTAGTGATTACACACCCTGAAAATGTTATTGTTATCACCAAATCTAAACTTAATTCAACATGAAATAATAAGAAATGTATTGTTTTCTGGTCAACTCTGTAATGGAATACGAGGGACATACATTTGATTATGAATATCATGCAAATAACCAGTGTGTTCTCTCTTTATATAGTCGTTAATGATGTTGAAAATCCGACAATTGTTGTCACGATATCTTGATCGTGATGGTTCAACTAGACGACCGGCAAGTATCTCTGTCTGATGGCCACAGTGTGTAAACCATGCTCTCGTTTGAAAATATCGTTTGCCAATATTACGATAAAAAAAGACATTAGCAACACCATTCGTTATGAAGTTTCATCTCATCAGAATACGTATTATATCTATACATGTTACCATGCATCTATATCTACATTTCATAAACGTATCTTTATATCTAGTTGCTAAATCTTATGATGTGTGCTAATGAAAGCTCTTAGATAGATAGGAAGCTGACTAATCTTCGGACGACTAAAAAAAAGCCAGAGTTAACAACTTTGAACATCAGAACAATGTATAAAAGTGCTAAATTTCCTGAAGTAGAGAAGGAAATGGGGTGATACAGTAGGAGTCTCGGCGTCTGAGAACACCGCTGGAATGAATGTGTCTATATCAGACTATCAACAGGAAATATATACATAATTCTGATCATGTAGATTTTGACCACGAACATAACAAAAAGTAACATTAATGATAAGACCAAATGCTGCAAAAGAAATGTTGGTATGGTAACCTATCTGACAGCTGCAAAATTTAATGCAAAGTGTCTAGGACAACTGTTGTTAATTAATGTTATACGCCCACCAGTCACACTTAAAAAAAACTATAAGCACACTTTATAAAAATTTTATTTAATTAGGACTTCAAGAAATATCAAACAATTCGAACTTAAATAAACTTAATGTATGAGACCCCTACTTAAATAAACTTAATGTATGTGACCCCTACTTAAATAAACTTAATGTATGTGAACCCTACTTAAAGAAATTTTAAATACAAAAGAAATTGTATGCAAAGCATGTCAATCTTTAAAAAAGCAAAAAAAAATTTGCACCAATTCGGTAAATCTAACGGTATTTAAGAAACAAAAAAAACCATTCCTAACGCGATTGCTGTCGTATTAAACAACTCTAATTGTGTTGTTGATAATATGAAAAATAACACAAGAAAAACATGATGCTGTATTTGAACAAGAAATGTTTCCTATTCTATTTGATGCGTGTATAGAGTTGCCTGGTTCAGATACTTCTACTGGTCACATCCCAATGGACATCTATCACCAGAATCTCAGTCTAAGACTGGAAGAAATCCACGATACCGAGGGCTAGAACCACTAAGGTGAACTCCAGAAGAAGATCTGTAAAGAAATGAAAAGATATGGTCGTTGTTGCAAACTAAATTTACATGATCCAAGTTGTAACATGATCTACATTTATACATCATAAGTTGTTTCAAAATCTACATGTATACAGTCGTTGTCTTAACTAGCGATATGCCTATTCACATTTGTTTTACAATGCTTTTGATTTAAGCTTTATTATTGGCATACTATTCTTAAAAATGTGTTATAAAAACTAGGCTTGATTTTTCATAAACCTAGAAAAACTGGCATCTAAAGACTTCTGGCTGGGTTTAGTAATGTAAAAGCTAATAACCATTCAGGCTTCAGCACAAGACGCAAAAGGCGATGTTTACCAAACATACTAAGGCAAGTAATTGAAATGAGACTACCCACAAGCACAACAGCAAGACGGAAACCACAGGCTTGATATTTACAAGAAAGTAATTGTTTGTCTTGGTTTATTTCTTGCTTTAACTTTAAATATAACATATCTCCACTGTAAAAGTAACTTACATTTTTTTTGAAAAGACAAACAACTTACCCGACGCCCAGGATTTTGATCTATTAGTCGATCCCTCCCATGTCATAACAATGTGGCCACGATCTGAATTATAAAACTATTTTACTACACATTATGTCTAGAGGGTTGTGCAAGCGTATTTATGATAGGGTGTGTGTTTAGCGTTTTAGTCTAAAGCAACTTTTAACTGTAACTCGCTTGATTGAGCTAAGAAGTAAAAATTTCGTGAGTGGTTTAATAGCAAATGATATAAGAAAAAAGATCTCAGGCTAAAAATAACAGACAAAATATCCCACGGCTATTTGTTTTCTAAACCACCAAAAAGATTTTATGTTTGTCATATTACGTTAAACATTTTGTGAAGCACAATTTTTTTTTGTATTGTAATGTTTGTATTTTTAAGGCCAAGCTTTAATATTTAGTCATATCGGCATACAGCTTTAGTAGGGCTAAATTGAAGTAATTTAAAATAAACCATTTATTTCTCGAATATTCTTATATAAAACAACAGGGGATGGCAACTCGGGATATAGATATAATTTTTCAATCCATTTTTAATTACTTAAAATATTTACTTTCTTGTATACAGAGAATAGAGAAAGTATTGTAATCGTACACAAAAATCACATGAAATTTATGTCAGTTTCCACCGTTTTACTTCTTAGTATTTCAGCATAAACGGAGTATAGGTCACTTATTTTAATCGGGTAAAAATTTGCAGCTGAGTTGTGAAGTTTCATGTATAAGTATTATGTCAAATTTGTAGATCAATATCAACTTTTGAGCGATTTCCGATAACCGAAATGTGGAACTTTTTCTACTTTCAATTTTTCAAAAGCCTATAACTTGAGTTGATAGATATCTACATATTTAATATTATACTTGTTTAAGAAATTCATCAACCTAGCTGTAACGATACTCAAGTTATCAAGTTACCAATAAGATCCTTGATATACAGCGTGTCGTGAGGCTGGTATGGAAACCTTCTTGGGCTCCCCAAAATCATTCCATCCCACACAGCTCGGATTATCATAGAAGTCTTGCGAAAATATCTTGGGGTTATTGTAGCGAACCACTGTATTGGTTCAGTGTCCCTACAGTAGCATTCTTGCCATCTTGGTGTTTCATTCCATATTTTACAGCCATTGGGTTTAAAGATGTCTTTGTTATAAAAGCAAAACTGAATAGAAGAAAATATAGGATAATGTGTATCTTAATTTATCTCGAATATTTGTTAAAATCTAAAATGGCCTTCCAAAAAAATATTTACTTTATTAATCATGGGATCCGGTTTTATTCAAAAAATGGAAAATCAGCCGTTAGGAGAAAGTTGGAAAGAAAACTATTCTAAAAATTCGAATGAAAATTCGTCGCCAACCCACTCCTTTGGTCGTCACTGTATAGAATAGTCTAGAAATAAATAATTATCTTTTTTTTTCCTAATAAATTTTAACACTATGATATTTAGCACTCTACTATTTTTGTCAAAGGGTATTTGGTCGTAAATGATTTTATCGTTTGCATTGGATTTTGTTTAGATATTTTGTCAACAGTTATTTCTTTTAAAGATATTTCGTCCAAATATTTTTTTGACCGACATAACAGTTAATTGAGCTTATGTGGTTTTAAGAATAATTTTTAAAAAAAAACATACAGGCTAATCATTACCATTGTCCAAGATTTAAGATCGGAGTAATTTGAGCAGTCGTAATTATTGGTGGTTCTAAGATCAATAGCGCACATTACGACTGCAAAGCCAGGTGCACCAAACCATTTACTTCGAGTCATCAAGTGCCACTTGTCCTTTGGTAGAGTAAAAGTGCCATAGACTTGGAGTTCATCCTCTCCGAACCTCACACACCCTCGACATTTGGGTCTGTAGCCGTCTATAGTAGCATTGATTCCATTTGCTCTTTGAAATTCTAGAGAGTTCTCGTCGGTCTTGGGTTCTTGGCAGAAGACTGAGAAAGTTGTCAAAAAGTGATGAGAAATTAAAAATGAAAAGTTGTGCTGGTGTGTTTATATTTGTTTTAGTACAATCGAAAAAAAAATCAATATTTAAAACACATGTTTTGCAGTGTTAATACAATTAGCCATACGTTTCAACTCTGTGTAAAATTGAGTTACTTAACTTTTCTACAGTTTTTTTGGTTTTTTCATAAAACTAAAACTATGGCGCACATGTTATTTAGTCAGAATAAACAAAGGATGACAAAAATTGTTTTAATTTACCTGTAAGAAATAAAAACAAACTTAATCCCAAGGCTGAAAATTGCATTCTTAGATGAAAATAGGTGACTTGCTGAAAGGCAGATTTGTAAAACTGATGCTGAAATTTTAAATTATTTTTTGTTATTATTTTTCGGATGTTTTTTTTTTTTGCCGTCAACAGAATATCGTCTAGAGCAGTGTTTACAAAAGGTTTTTTTTTCTTTGCTACGCCACACATAAGTTTTTTACTATGATGTCTTAAATTCAATACATCGTTTCTTTAATTACCTCTTCATCAATACTTGTATATTGATATTAATATCGATGTACATATGTTTTAAATATCAAATTTGCTGTATTTACTTTCATTCGATACTTCTAAGCCATGATACTTTAAATGTATGTAAATACTTTTAATTCTGCACATCTATGTACTTTTGTATTTCAAAATTATGTAAGTCGATACTTTGAATACCTGTGCCTCATTACTTTAAAATACTAGTACTTAACACAAAATTGATGTTCTTTAATTCTTTAATTACTTGTTCTTCGGTACTCTAACTGCTTTTTTAATACTTCAAAACAGGGGTCACCGTGGTCTAGCGTGTAATGCTAATGGGTCCCCAGCTCTAGCCGCCGGGCAGATGACGCTCGGTACCTAAAAGCTACGGACAGCAACCAGAGTTTCTTCCGCCCCCCCCCCCCCGAACGAAATGAAATGTATATAATTTATATACAAAATATATACGTTTAACAGTGTCCGCCCCCTCCCCCCCGAAGAAAGTCTACCGCCTCCCCGAACATTTCAAGTGCCCCCCCCCCCCCCCCCGGAGATAAAATTCTGGAAGAAACACTGACAGCAACCCATCTAGGAGAGGAAATTGCTTAAAGTTTTTTTTTCTTAAATGGATAAAAGTGTGTACAAATGCTATGTAGACAAATCCAGTGATAAAAACAGGTTGAAATCTGAGACAACTGGCTGTACAGCGCATAACAAGTTGACAAATGAAACGTAATTAAGAAAGAAAATGTAATAACGTCATCACATGTAGGGCTACTTCTATAATTTAAATAACTAAACATTAGTAATTATTTTGTGTACGTTTTGTACTCGGGAAGGTAAGGCACTGTTCTACCTTGAGCCCAACCTCAAACTCTTCCCCACCAACCGCAATGGGGGATATTATATTCAATCCGTTAAATATTATCACAGCATTAATTGTAACAACCATATTCTACATATAAAGTTGGCTCATTTAGTCTTTCACAATGTTATTCTGTCTTTAACTCAAAATATTTTTTTTTTAATTTGAGATTGTCTTCTTCTTCGTTCTTATATTATAGTGTTGGGATTCCCTCCAAAACATTGAAGTATTACTTGTTATGCATCTGCTGTTCTTTTTGGATTTACTTCCGTAAACTTTGTACAACCAGAACAAACTACAAGGCAGCAGTTCTTTTTATTTTTTTAGTTTTTTTAAACCAAATCTGAATATTTTTATTAAATCTTTTTTTTTTAAGTTAGGAAAGCTACTTTCGCTTTTGGCTTCAAAACAAACTCAAGAATTTAAAATCAGAATTTCGTGAATTTAGATCTAGAAATCGAGATAGAAAATTAAAATCTAATCTAGATTCTAGATCTAGATTCTAAATCTAGATCTGTCTAGATAAAGAATTGAGTTTTCAGATTTTAATATAGATCTAGATCTAGTCTAGAATTATATTTAGAATATAACCGACTCGTTAGATTTAGTTTTAGAGTTTTAGAGGTAGATTCTAGTAATTCTACTACTAACTCTCTAGATCTAGAAATCTAGAACTAGAATCTTGATCTGATCTAGGGACCGTAGTCTAAACCGATTTTATTAGAAGAGTAAAGAAGAGGTTGTAAAGTCAAGTGACCAAGTCTAAAGAATTAAAGATTAAAGAACTTTAGTAATTATATAGGCTTAATTAGTAAATTACTAATTAGTTACTAATTAAATTACTATAGTAATTAGTTACTAATTAGATTCTACTTTAGTGTACTAACTTAGTACTAAGTACTAGGCCTAAAATTAATATTAATTATTAATGATACGTCATACACTCATACTTTAAGTTTAATTAAGTCTGAAGTTTAAGTTATAAACAGTAGATCTAGATATAATAATATATTATAACAAATCGTCAAATAGTATTATTTAGGGCCTACTAGATCTAGGGCCTATTTTATCTAGATCTAGATCTCAGCCTTATTTTAGTTAGACCTAGATCTATAATAATAATAGTATTAAGTATAGGCCTGTTACTGTATATTATATAGACTATAGCTAATTTCTTTTATAGTGAACTAGGCCTATATGATTAATATGAATACTTTTATTAATATAATAATAGTAATAGGTGTTAGTATTAGTTTAGTTAGCTAGCTAGTATTTAAGCTAGATTTAGACTAGTAATAATAGAATAATTAGCTAGATTTATGTAAAACAGAAACCTTTAGACTTTACTTTTGAATTTAGGCCCATAAATTTTTCTCTAGACTTTCTTTTGCTTAGAAAGTTTAGGACTGATTAAATTAGTAATTAGGCCCTATGTATTAATCATATTATAGTTAATTATAGGCCCCTAATTTAAATTAGGCCTATTTAGTTATAAAGACTTTGCCTTTATTCATTTTAATAAATAGGCCCCTATTTTAAATCAATGCCATATTTAAAAAAAAATAATCCTTTTCCTAGTACTTTTTCTTTTAGCATTAGATCTAGAAGAAGATAAACTTAAACTAGATATTACACGGTGACAGTAGGCTAGACCTAATAACCGTAATTACTAATAAGTCGTCTGCTTAGTAGTTAGTCCTCGTAGAGATAGTTATCGTTATATATATATAGACAAGTTATAGTGTACCAGTATTACTAGATAAAATTCTATATATAGTAATAGCTTTAGAAATTCCAAATTTGATTTAAGCCCAAAGTGGGCCTAAAAATTGGATTAATCTAATAATTACTAACATTAGGGCCTAATTAGTTTAATTGTAATAAGCTTTGTTTGACTTTGTGTTACTGTCATTGAGCTTTTAGTTTAACATTGAAAATTTAATTCCATGATTTAAAAAAAAAATCAGCAACTTCAATTAATCTATATAGCTAGATTCTAGATATTCATACTGTTGTACAAGGCTTACTTAGTAGAAATTAAATATGCTAAAATTACAGAATTCTGACTATATCACTCAGAATAAATAGATATGACTAAATAAGCCTAATGTATATTACATTGTTTTAGAAGAATTACTTTTGCTTTACAGTAAGCATGTATTTTTAGTGTCTGTGTACACTAGTTAATATTTATTTTTACTGTTAATGAAAGTATTATTCCACAGATGAAGCATGTTCCACTTGTAATAATATTAATAATGTCTTGTTTTTTTTACTTAGACCAATAAAACAGTTGTGTGTTTTACACTTAAAGTCAGTATCTCAAGCCAGTTACCCTTAATGATAATGTACTCAAGCCCTCAAACCACTTCTTTGGTTTATCAATTGTGTGCTCTACTGCTTGACCAATGAATCCCAATTTAGTATTTGTAGGTCATTGTAAAAATATATATTGATATATCCTAAATAAATCTTTTATCAAGTGTTAAGATTTATGTTATTTTTATTGAGTGTTGTTTTAATACGTTCTTTGTGTTGTGTGTGTTAGTTCAGTGATTTTGGAAAGCTGTAGTGATTGAGGAAACTAAACAGTGTTTAACTTGCAAATTTTATATGAAGAAAAACACACTGGCGCTAGACTGCCATTACTACTAACCCACAGTCTCAAGTTGAATTGAGGTTTAAGTCAGTAAAAAGTCCCTGAGTGCACCCAGCAATGAGGGGTACCAAACTCACATCAGTGAAAGTAATGGCATTGTCAAAGTGCTGACCACATCATGGCTTCCAATGCCAAGTTCACAGAACAGTTGAACTCTTTGCAATCTGATCCATGGACAAACAGGCTAGAAACAGGAACTTTACAACTCTCACTGTTGTTTACAATATTTTCATACACTAACAATAACAATTACAATCAATAAACAAATTCAATGATTAAGACAAGTTCAATTTTTATTAAATAAATTAATAATTTATTTAGTATTTAAAGATAAAGGCACTTTATTTATTAATGTAATATTTGTCCCTTAATTTCAGGGAATTTAATTTTTTCCTGCATCAAATATTGTTATTCATAAATTGCAGACTCAGATGAAATCTTCATTCTAAAACACATTTTGATTTCCTATGTTTTGTTGATAGTCTTAGTTAAGGTTGCCTGGAACATGTGTAGGGTACTTTCTTCTGTGTTTACTAGAGGTCTATATGCACAGATTTAATTCAGGTATTCTGAAAAATAGATTTACACACAATATTTATACTTAAAATTTTGTCTTATAATCATAGTTTACATTTTTATACATAATAAGCGTATCAAAAATATAAATAAAATTGCAATCAAAACTAGCCATTAAATCTATAACTTCAGGTCAATATTGACAAATCTATTACTAAATCTAAACTCTAGATCTAATAACCATAATTCAATGCCTACTAAAATAACTGGGTCTTGCTAGATTTACACATAAACTTCCTACATCTAGATTTCTAAGTAAGCATATGCCTACTACTCTAGTTAGTAGCAGACTTTCTTAATCTTTAGCAGTCAACTAAACTTTAAATCTACTTCTTAAATCAAATCTAGATAGGTTCGCAGTAGCAACAGATGTCAACATTTTAATTTTATTAATATTATAATATTATTATTTATAATAATTATTGCCTACTAAATTACTAAATAATTCTAGATCTAGATTTCTCTAGACAAGTTACTAACTAGATTTAGCACTGTTGTTAACTAGCTACATCTAGAAAAAAATATATATAGACTCAGAGACCTACTCACTGGATCTAGAATTATAGAAAAATCTTATTCCGGCTAGTCACTTCGTCATTAATTATTAATTATCATTAGGTCCTATTATTAACTTTTTAATTTATTACACTCACAATGTTGCATTCACTCTCTACTAAGTCTACTTCAGTAACTATGCTCAACTGAACTACACTAACATCCTCAGTAGTCTACAGTCTGCACTTAGTTAGACTAGTCGTAGTCACTACTTGTACTTTAGATAAGTACTTGCAATCAGATCTCTACAAACAAACATACACTAACTAGTAACTAATGATCTAATCACTAAAGTCTAAATCTAATCACTGTCAATTTTTATTTAGAGGTATTAGTAATAGTATAGATCTAGATCTAGACTCTAGTTAAGGAAGTATAAAGAACAGATTTAGGATCAGGTAGATTGAGATCTATTACTAATAACTATTAGATATCTAGATCTAGTTGCAATATGCTGAAATAAAGTGTAAAGTCGAACTTGATAATTGTTTGTTTACTGTTTACCAAATCGTCCAGTAGGAGTAATGTCCCCTGGGGCTAGGCTTGCTAGGTCTTAGATTTAACTTTTAAAAATAATTAATTTACTTACCGCCACAAAACTTTTCTGTCAGAATTGAATGCAAATACATTACTTCCCAACCGTACGTACACAATAGACTTGAAATTTTGTATATTTGTTGCATATTGGGAGTTCATGATGAGTTTAAAATGTTGAAGCGAAGTCAAGAAACAAGCAGCCGCCATGTTTTTTTATCAATGGGAATCATGATCACAAAAATTCATTTAGTTTGAAAAATTTTATCTCTCCCTGGCGGAAGTTTTTCCAAAACTTTGAATGGATTAATGAATTAATATTATTAATTATTTCAAAAATTATTTTCAATAGTTTATCTTGAATTAAAAAATTCAAAACACGTAAAAATCAATACTTAATATTTTGTTTTAATTTTTGACAGCTAAAACATAATTTTAGCGCTTGCCAATTAATTTATATAATTTTTTGAAAAATAGCATGTTATCTAGCAAAGTATTACTGCAACACCCAATAGGATACTATCAAAATTATTTGACTTTGAAAGACTGTTTGTTATTTTTTTACTTGTCTATGTCAGTTCACAAGAATAACTTTTAGACTAAATCTAGATGAATATTAACAAGTTTTCAAAAATGTGCAATTCATAAGATAACATTGGCTTTTTATGTATCACACTACTTACTTACAAGAGCTATGTGTGTTTTTCTTTATCGTACACATGGAAATGCCATTGCTCCAACTTAGACAGGAAGTGTACACAACCAAGGCCATCCTATCATCTTCTAGAAAGGTAAAGACAAAGGTTAGGCGGTGCGTTCAGTTGGTGCGCATGTTCAGTGGCGTAGCCAGGATCGTCTCAAGGCGGGGGGTCCAATTTTTACCCGGGGACAAACTTTCGATTTGCACCCCCCCCCCCTCTCAGACTTTTGATTAGCATCCCCCCCCCCCCCCCTCAGACTTTCGATTTGCAATAAAACTGAGGGGTCTATTGGGGGGAGCTATGACCCCCCCCTAACCCCCCCCCCCCCCCCTGCTTACGCCACTGTGCATGTTAGTTTAGATTTGTCATCCAATTTTCAAAATAAAAAATAAATCAAATTATTAACAAGCTTTTATATAATTATATGCACTAAAAAGTAGAAAAAAAATTATAAACTGCTATTTCAATAACTATAAAGAAAAGCGTGGGTCACTTTAGTATATATTTATAGAGTCCTTTCATATGACGTCACGTCCGTTCGTGATACCTACGCCCGCCGCCACGTATTTTTCCTTTTCCGAGGGTGCGGTTCTTTTCATACGGTGAACACGTCCAGCGCTGGTGAACACGTCCAGCGCTGGTGAACAGCTGATTGTGTTTACGTCTGGTGTACACCACTGTGGCGGCGGGCGTAGGTATCACGTGATTTAGGTCACGTGTTTGCAAGGACTCTATACCTTTACTAATATTTAGAAAGAGATCCACACTTTTCTTTATAGTTTTTTAAATAGTAGTATATTTTTTCTACTTTTAGTGCATATAATTAGCTGGTTATTAAAATGTTTTTTTACGAAAAAAAAATCAATAATTTAATTTTTTTTTAAATTTACAATTTACAATTTAGTTGCATGAATAAAAACTATTATGAACGCGATGACGCGTGTCTAATAGTACCCAATAGTTTGATGAGATAGAGAACTAATTTGGACACAGTCAATGAGTTAAATAAAAGCTTGTAAAAAAATAATAACAAACGTTATAATAACAAGCTTTTATGTTTAAATAAAGCAATGCTTAAAAACATTAATTTTAGTAACATGCTTTTATATAATTATAAAAAGAAAGATCGGGTCTCTAAATAATATATTGTATATTAATTAGTATCCCAGTCCTGATGGGTACATGAATCATGTTAGGGAAAGTAAAAACGGCTAGGCACTGTGTTAGCAACACTATCCCTTCATATGCCGAGGACATTAAAACAAATTATATCTACTTAACTCGCCCTTTGGACGTAAGGTCAAAAAAGTTAGTTTACTTTTGTCGGATTCCATGTTCCCCGTGTATGTTTATTTCAAGCTTTAGGATAACACTAAACTTTCCTACAGAGCTGTATCCTCTAAAGGTTTTTTTAAACTAGTTTTTATACCATTTACTTTCTTTATTTGATTACCATGTACACACGTTATGGTTATGTCTTTGAAGCTGAACTGCGTAACTCTAGAAAATAAATAATTATTATTAGATTTTTAAAAACAAAATCCTATGGATAGATTTGTTTAAAAGGGTAGACTGATTTCTTGTGTCTCATTTTACTCTACAAATCATCCATGCTGCTTATAATATTTATAATATAATTTTGTCTTCTTTTATCCCACATTTATTTCAGCTCTAGACATAAACCAATACCCCATCATCTGCGGGGGGTAGTTGAATCATGACAATCATTATCTGAACTGCAGACTTTCGGAATACTTTGTGCACCCCTAACCAATGCAATGCCACCGACATTGAATCATAAAATCGTTGTAAGTGAAAAAGATAAAAAGATAAAAATAATTATTTTGATTTTTAGTGTTAACAATATTAATTTAAAATTGCTATTTAATCAATATAAAATATAGTGGTAATATAAAGGCTGAGAATTTAGGCATACATTTTTTTTAAATCTAAGCGAAGCTGGGAAAAATATTTAGTAGATTTTAAAGTATCTTTGTTAACACATCACTAAGTGTAGCTTTCTTCAGACACTGATAAAATCATAGTGTATGGTAAATCGAAATTAGTTTAGAAATAATTGTAAAATTTACCAATCTAGATTTTAGGGTCAAATGGAAAGATGAAGTAGAGTTCATCTAATTCTCAACTTCGAATAGAAGCTTTAGTTTGGTCGGTTTTATGTCCGGCTAACTTAACTTTCCATTGAACAGCTAAAACACAAATACGTTCCCATCACATATATAATTACACAATAACGTCATACACACACTTTTAGAAGTGGAACAAAAGTAATGAGAACATTGTTTTTCAATATCTATTTTCCAGGGTATAAGTACATGTGTGTATTTTTAAATAGGAAAGATGTACGTTTTTTTTTACTATATTCTAGACAAGCATGAAACATCTTCTTAACATTGATCTGTGGAAATATAATTTAACCCATCAGAGGAAGTACCACTGTGAGGATGGCACGACAACCATCCTAGTCTGTAGACCCCTGCCCCACTGCTACCTGGACAGGTACAAGTTGTGTACGTGTACCTGGTGCCGTACCTCCCCACCTCCTGCTTGTGCACCCAGTGACCTATAGACACCTGCTTAGAACAGCCGTGCGGGTGAGACACTATAATGGTCAGCGTGTCCACATCTCGACGACTCTTGTACTTATCACTTACAGGAAACCATAGGTCATCCCATCTCATCCACATCCTATACAGCTTATCCCCTAGGTCTAAGTCATGTGTTACACAAACCAAATCACTCCAATCCTCATTGAAGCTTGTCCCTTCATGGTTGAGCATAGTGCTGATCACACTTACGTGATGACATGTGTCTAATAGTGTGGAATCGTTTGAATAGACAGCCTACTAATTTGGACAAAATATTAATTAATTCATAAAAAAATTAGTTAGGCATTGGATGCCTAATAGTGTGAAGAGACGTGGCTTATTATGAAATCTACAACAATCAATACAGAGCTGCAGACCAAAAACATATGGAGGAGAGAAATTGAAAATAATATGGAAGATGAGATGCGATATATTTGCAAAATATAGTGGACCATTTCCAGATAAGCCCCTTTACCAGTGCAAAATGTGCCCGGAAAAAAAGTTAAGCCCCGCCACTTTTTGCCAGCAAGCAAGCAACCTCAACCTATTTCCGATGTCTTGACAATTGAATAATTAAAAGCATGCCATAAAAAGCAATTCCTTATCTGACTCTAGGGTTAGTTTTATTCTAAGGCTTTGTGTTAATATTAGGGTTAGACTTGGATTAAAAAAGCATAAGTTTTATATCCTTTTTAATCTTTTTTGCTGACGGGGGTTAACTTTTTGGCGAGGCTTAACTGGGCAAGGTCCAATATCCTTACACACATTTTTTAATCAAACTACAAATGCATACTAATGCATAATTTTTTGTTGGTTGATTTAAAATTCAAAGCTTAGATAAAATAGTGTTCTGAGCAATAAATTGTTTGTCATAGACATCACAATACATACTTTTTATATCAAGAGCAATATGTATGCTCAGCCAAATGACTATTCGACTAGACCATTTCTGTATTTGATATATCTGGTTTCATGCCATCGTGAGTTGAAAATGTTGATAAGTCATCAGAAGTTAAAAATGTTGATAGGTCTGGTTTCATGTCAAACAGAGTTAATGCTTCTAAATTAACGTGCTCACACGATTCATGTTTATGTATAAATACACAAGTGTTTATCTCTGAATTAATTGCAGTAGGATAAGATATATCATCAACATTGTGTTGTATTTCTGCTGTGTGAAATTTCAAATGTTTAACATATCCATTACATGCACTTTTCTGATGACCTGTATCACGTTCACCTGATCTCTTTTCATTAAGTGTTGATTTTTATTTAAAACTTAATGTATCTAAGGAGTTTGTATGCATCAATTGTAGTTCTTTTAAATCATTACACATATTTCAAATGTGTTAAATTTTCACTACAAATGGTAACATCTGGTAAACTAATTAACCCTACTTTTGAACCATCTGCTTTGCCATCCTCTGGAGTAGAAGATGTTGTGACATCTGGCCTTACATCCATAAAAGTCGAAAAAGCATTTGATACATCCGTTTTTCTTTCGTCAATTCTTAAACATGTTAATAGCTTCATGTCAACAAAAGTTGAAACTTTAATCAAAACATCTGGATGGATTTCATTTCTTAATTCATGTTTATTCACCAATGGGAATTCACTTTCCCCTTCCATTCGCCAGTTTGGGATGCATTTGATAACTAACATTGTAATAAAAAGATAAATGAGTAAAAGAGCACTGTTTGTTTAAAAAAGAAAAACAGAGAAAAAAACAAGCAATTTCTACATATCTACTACAAATGCTATATAAACATAAACTTTTTTCCAAGTATTCACTTCGTTAATATTTAGATCTAGATCTACTAATTGTTGCTAATTTTGTGACTATTAAATTTAATTGAAACACTAATTTAATACACTCGACTTTATTTAAATTTTAACGGTCGACTCAAGCTTTTGGTATATAGTGTAATGAATGTATATGAAATTCAACAAACAGTACCGGATAATTTCCGACGCTATAATACTCACTATATCCGAGTTTATTGTGAGATTACCTAAATAATAAATATTTACTTTTTTTTTTATTAACAATTTTACTTTTACATTGTTTAATAACTTGAAACCAATTGGAGCTAAACCCGCTAAACTCCTATTCATAAAAATCAATATGGGCACAATTATTCTGAATGATATCACTACAATATATCAAAAATAATATGTTGATACTTATTTTTGAGGTTTTCCTTATCATGTATCAGAAACAATATGAGCATTCTTATTCTTAAGCATGATCATACAATGCATGAAAAGGAATACATTCTAAAGAATGCCCCTACAATTTAACCCACAAAAGTATGTGCCTTATTACACTACAATTGGCTATATATTTAATAAAAAATGCCCCAAAAATTTATTATAATAATATGGGCATAATTAAAATGCATTATAAAGTGAAGTGGGCATATTACTAGATGCTCATAAAATATATTATAATGAATATACGAATAATTACTTTAAAGATGCCCCTACAGTGTATAAAAATTAGTATAACGAATACGTGCATATTACTTTAAAGATTCCCCGTACAGCGCATGGGAATAATTTGGTCACAAGTACTCTAAAAAATGCCCTTACACTAAACTGAAAAACATATCACACGCATTTATCAAGGGAATATCAATGACTACCATAGGACTACCCTTCACTTATGCCCGCTTTTTCTATATAAGTTTTGCTTTACGGACAGAGTAATGTCAAAACGAGTGACAGACGATTTGGTGTTACAATTTGTTTTGGGTGAGAACGGCAAACATATGGAAAGTCACGATGACAGCATGAGACAAAATAATATATTTCAACGTTTTTTTTATTTAAAAAATATAAATAAATAAATAAAATTTAAAAAATAAAAATTCCACCTCCGCTGGATGCCCCCCCCCCCCCCCCCCGCCAGTGGTGGATGCCCGGGACTTACCCTCCCCCCCCCCCCCTCCTGCAAGCCAATGGCTACAAAAGTAGTAAGACTAGAATATTGATTAGCATCTAAAAATTCTTAGCATAAAAAGTGATTTACAAAACAATATAACATTATTAGCAAGAATATATATCTATCTTATACTACTTAAACTCAAGTTTATTTACATTTTGCATATTTATTTATTTCTTTTTTAATGTTTCTTTTTTGTCTGTTTTGTTATAGTAGAGAATTTGCACTATTTGTAGAGCTTTTAAATGCGTATTTAGGTAGAGAATAATGTTCTTTTTTACCAAACTGTTAATCACAAATTTATTTAAAGGCGTTAATTAATGTATGGATATATTTATTGGTAGATACACCACCTTATCTATAAAAGTTCAGAACAATGGCTTTACTTATAGTGACGTCACATGATTTATTTACATTATATAACAATAATGGCGGCTTCCATTTAAGATTTTGTTGCCCATTCAAAAGTTTAAAACACTATAAAGCTACTTTTCTGCCTGCTATATGGGGGGGGGGGGGGGGAGGGGCTAAAATCAAATTAAAGGGGGGGGGGGGGGCGGACAATTTTAAAACTATATATTTTCTATATAAATTCAATTTCATTCAGGGGGGTGTGGGCAGAGCCGGCGTTAGGGGGTGGCGAACGGGGCGGTCGCCGCAGGCCCCGCGCTTGAAGGGGCCCCGCGCTTCAGCAATGTCATTGTTATCTGAATTAGTTTGTAAACTTAAAAAAAATTGTTGCTGAATTCAATTGGGAAAAACTAAATGGTCGAATGCCGACGTTGTTGATTGTTATAACTGAGGCCACGGTTGATGTTAGTGAGTTATCACCCACCTGAAATGGGACAGGCCTTAATTCGATACAAAAACAGTGTGAGACCTCCCCTTTGTGTAGGGTACGGTCGCCTCGCATTTGAACTGAGCTGACTGGAGATTGTTGTCAGCCCCCGAACTGACATGGGATGTAAATTTGGGAAACACGTAAAGAGCAGTGTTTTTTCGGGTGGAGGGGGGGGGGGCTTAGGAAGAAATTCTGGTAAAGAGATACCCTATTGTATGCGGACCGATGAAGACGTCCTTTTAGTGAGCAAGCGGGATGTCTGTAGTAGACAGTTAGTGACCTGATGAACGCTTGTCCTGACTTTCTTGTTGTAGATGTCGTATATGTAGGCCTACTTGTCTTGGTATAACAAAATTAACATTCAGTTGCTGCAGTTCTTTATGGATGACCTTTAAGTCCAAAAGCTATCAGTGTTTTTCTATTTCTTTTCAACTTTAATTACTTTAGTTTTGTTGATTTTGTAATTTGTAATTTGTCTAAAATTCTGTGCTTACTAACTAATCTCTTTTTTTAGATACACCTAAAACGCATGACTTTTATATTAACTATTAGTCATTAACAAACAATTTAAACAACTTTATTTTCCTAATTTTTTGGCACGTGATTGAATTTTCTTAAGTGATTTGGTATGAATTACATAACTGTCAAAAGTGATTTAATATCTTAGCAAGGAAAAAGAAAGCTACGAACATTGGGTTAATACATGGGAGAGATAAAAATCTGTTATTAAAGTGGAAAGTTTGGCATAAGCTTATAAACTCCAAAACATTTATGTGTTGTTATGTGTGCATGCACATTATATAGGCCTATATATATATATATATATATATATATATATATATATATATATATATATATATATATATATATATATATATATATATATATATATATATATATATATATATAATGGAAAAAAAGCAGGCCCCGCGCGGATGGTTGGCCCTAGGCCCCGCGTATTCCTAACGCCGGCTCTGGGTGTGGGCAATAGACATGCTTCAGTGTCCGCCCCCCCCTCCTCCCATCCCCGTCCGGAAGAGATCCCTGGAAAAAACTCTACTAATAGGGGCCCAAAAACTTGGGGGGGGGGGAGGGGGCCCTTTTTTTCTAGTTTTGCCACTGGGTAGTTCCTCCCCTTCTTTGGCCGCAGCCCTTTGCTCTATGTGGATTCAATAGAATAATCAATAAGTAATATGTATGAGTCACTATAAGCAATGTTTCTTCCAGACTTTTTTCTCCGGGGGGGGGGGGGCACTTGAAATTTTCAGGAGGGGAGGGGGCGGTAGACTTTCTTCGGGGGGGGGGGGCGGACACTGTTAAAAGTATATATTTTCTATATAAATTATATAAATTTCATTTCGTTAGGGGGGGGAGCGGTAGACTTCTTTCGGGGGGGGGGGGGCCAACCCCCCCCCCCCCCCCCATCCCCCCGAAGAGATGCCTGGAAGAAACTCTGACTATATGCATTTCTCTGAAATTATTCGTATTGATAAACTATTATTTTATTAATTGGACTATAAAAATGGGATACTAATTTTTACCTCTTAACCGGATGTTCTAACATCTACGTGAGAAAAAAAAATCTAGATATAGACTTATAGATCTAGAATCTAGACATCTAGAATCTAGAAAATTAGACACTTGGGTAAGTTTCAGATAGTAAGAGACTATTAATTACTATTAGTAATACTATTACTAATAGCTAGATCTTTAGGCCTAAGCTAGTCATTGAATTGGGATATTTTCAATCATCATATTAATCATATCATCATAGAAATGAATCACTATCAAGTATCATCACCATGTGTATTTCATTTGTAATTGTATGTTTTTTTTAGTATGTAATGTAGATCTAGATCTACAATGTTAATGTACATGGTACACTGTACACTAACACAGATTAATCCTAGATCTAGTATAATGCATAGTATAGGGCCTACCACATTGATAAAAATACCAAATTTATCATTTTAATTTTAGGCCTAATAGTAGTTTTTTTAGGCCTAGGCCTATATTAATTTTTAAAGTTATGTATTAATTATTAAACTTACTTGTTAGGGCCTAGCTAGGCCTATAGGCGCCTATATATTTAATTAGGGCCTATATAGTTATAATAATATCACTGTAACATGGATTTAATTGTGTGATTGGCTTTAGCCGCTTTAGGCTTGCATACCACTGCTGCTATTTGAGATATAATTATAAAACTTTTCACATTAGTGTTAGAGAGTGTGGGCTATCAATAGAAATATGAAAGTTAGTAAAATCAAATTTTGATGAAGGATAATTAGAACTTATAAAGTCAAATTAAAGCGAGGGGTGCTGTTCTATATAGGTCAATATTCAGTCAATGTTTTTTTTTAATATTAAAATTGAAACTTTGCTAGAGGGTGGGGGTTCGAAAAAAATTAGATTAAGTATGACTGCATATAATTAAAAAGTCCTATGAAAGGGTGTTGCATTTTATAGTAATTATAGTGACTGCAACAGATGTATATCCAGAATGTTACTATAATAGATAGGATAAATTTGGTAATTGATGCTGAAGCATGTAATAAGAAGAATGCTGAAAAATAAAACTAGGGATGGTGTGGTAAAGCACTCAACCACTAACATGCAAGTCTTAAGCTCAGATCTCAGACGAGTCTGTCTGTGCAGCATGCAGCATCCACCAAGCTCAGATGAGTACCTGACCCAAGGGAAAGTAACGATTGCTTGGCAGAGAGCTAACCACACCATCACTTCATGTGCAGTGGTCAAGAAACAGATAAACTCTACTTCAGCTGCTCTATGGATGATGGATTGACAGGTCCAAAAGGGAAACTACTTTAATATACTAGGGTCTTTATTAGGCCCTATTGATATTTTGGTAAAACTAATCAACAGAAAAACCTTAAATTCTTGTAAAAGCTTATTAAGCTAAGTGTTAAGTTGTACCACATCAGAAGTTACAGCTTCCCTGTCTATTTGCTTATATCAATATATTGGCAATATGCTGTGATTTAAATCCGTATTGTTAGTTGTTATTTGTTTTTTGTTACTTTTTATTATTAAATGTAAAAATTGTAGGGCCTATCCTAAATTATTATGAATAATAATTATCATGCCTTTTTCGTGTCATTCTAAATTCACTGCCTTATAAATTAGTACCCCCCCCCCCATGTCAATTGCTGCCAATTATTATAATAATATTTGTTTATTTAATGGAGTCTTAAATCTAATGTCAAGACATTTAGAATGTGTTTAATACGTAAATTTATTTAAAATGTGACAGCACCGTACAGGACATGTTCGCGAGATAAACTCATTAGAATCGTGCGATCGTTTTCGGCTTTAAGATTGTCAAAATGGCGTATATATATATATTGTGATGTATTTGTGTCAAATATTATAGATAAATGAATAATAAACCTAAATCAATGGCTAAATATATCAATATAGGCAAGAAATTAACTTTAAACAGCAGTGTTTGCGAGCAGGATTTGCTATATAAAAAGCTGCCCTCTGTAAGTTAGAGTGGCTTACCCTGAATCTTGCGCTATAAATTTACAATAAAAAAGTAATTAAACATGATGACTGATATAGTACATGAGCATGGTTGCATCTGTTGGAAACATCGCTAGTCTTCATTTATTACTGAAAAGTTTTAATTCAATTGTTTAAAAACAGGTACCTAAATGAAACAAGGAAACATTTTTGTATTTATTAGTTTCTTATATTAATTTCTTAACTGATTTCTAATTGGAGCATTTTTGGACATTGGCTTTGTAATCAATCAAGTTTTTATGTATCAGTTTCTACAGTCAGCTCTGTAAAGTTTCCATGTGCATGTGGATAGTTCATAACAAATTAGTTGTTTTTTTCTGCTTTTTCCTTGAAATATCTTTTTTTTCTATTTTAGCTGTCTATCTACACTTACAAGAATGGAAGAAGGAAAAAACATTCCATCATGGTTTGAAAATAAATCGCATGAGGAAATAAATTCAAATAGCTTTAATTTGGAGGAAATAAAGCCAAATGTATCAAACTCATTGCCGAAATTAGTGGATATGAAAGCTGTTTCAACATTTTCAACTCTTGTAGACATAAAGCAAGATGTTTCAACTATTGAGGACATGAAACCAGGTGTTTCCACTTTTGTGGACATGAAACCAGGTGTTTCAACTATTGTGGACATGAAACCAGGTGTTTCAACTATTGTGGACATGAAACCAGATGTTTCATCTTTTGTGGATATAAAACCAGACGTTTCATCTTTTGTGGACATGAAACCAGGCGTTTCAACTTTTGTGGACATGAAGTTAGGTGTTTCAACTTTTGTGGACATGAAACCAGATATTTCCAATTTTGTCAATACAGAAAGTGATAAACCAGAAGGTTCAATAGGACAGATAATCAATTCAATAGATTCATCTATTTACAGTGAAAAAGTAACTTTTATAAAATCAGAGATTTACAGTGATTTAGAGGAATTAAAATTAATGCATATGAAGTCTTTAGAAATATTAAGTTTAAATAATAGAAGTAATTCTGAAGTTAAACAGCACAGATGTAATATTTGTCATAAAAACTTTTCCAACAAAAACTATTTATCTCAGCATAAAATAATTCATTCTGGAATTAAGAGGTACGAGTGTGATATTTGTCATAAAATGTTTTATTACAAGTATACTTTAGACAAACATAAAATTTTTCATTCAGGTGTCAAGGAATATGAATGTGATGTTTGTCATAAAAAATTTTATCTGCAAGTTAGTTTATCTCAGCATAAAGCAATTCATTCTGGTATTAAGAAGTTTAAGTGTGATATTTGTCATAAAATGTATTTTCACAAAGTTACTTTAAAAAAACATAGAATTATTCATTTTAGAGTTAAGGGACCTGAGTGTGATATTTGTCATAAAAAATTTTCTGAGAAAGCTGATTTATCTAAGCATATAGTTGTTCATTCTGGAATTAAGGGGTATGGGTGTGATATTTGTCATAAAATGTTTTATCGCAAGAGTACTTTAGCAACGCATAAAATTTTTCATTCTGGAGCTCAGGATCATAGGTGTGATATTTGTCATAAAATATTTTCTCGTAAAGCTGATTTATCTCAGCATAAAATTGTTCATTCTGGAATTAAAGAGTATGAGTGTGATATTTGTCATAAAATGTATTATCACAAGAGTTCATTAAAAAAACATGAAATTATTCATTCTGGAATTAAGGAACATGAGTGTGATATTTGTCATACAACTTATTTTTGGAAAGATGAATTATCTCGGCATAAAATTAGTCATTCTGGAATTAAGGAGTATGAGTGTGAGATTTGTCATAAAATGTATTCTCACAAGAGTTCTTTAAAAACTCATAAAATGGTTCATTCTGGAGTTAAGGAACATGAATGTAACATTTGTCATAAAAGTTTTTTTCGGAAAGCTTATTTATCTAAGCATACAATTGTTCATTCTAAAAAACATAAAATTATTCATTCATGATCATAAGTATTATTTGTCCTCTCACATTTATTTTCTTTGAAGTCTCATTTGACATTAAATTATTCATTCTGTAGAAAAATCATATGAATGTAATATATGTTTTTAAAAAGTTTTCTTTAAAAATCTTATGTTATTCGTTCTGGGGAAAAAGAAGTGTAATTTAACATACCATAAAAATATTAACTCCTGCAAAATGACTGGTATTGTTTGTTACAAATATTTACATTGCAAGCATGATTTGTCAACACATTTAAAAACATGTTTTCAAACGAGGACTAGCTACACATCTCCAATGTCATTACAGATGTATACTTCCATATTCTAGTCTAGATGTACTAATGGGGTGCCAAATGTACTTCTACTTTTATTCCTCCACTCACCTCTGCACTCAGTACTTGGTCATTATGGTTGCTTGAAAACCTTTGGATGAAAACTTTTACTAGACCTGACTATCTGTCCCTACCATCTCAGTTTTAGGTTTTTTAACTATAGTCAGTTTCAGTCTGGATTACTCCGTCTTATATTTTTCAGTAACATATGTTCACACAAAAAAAAATTCCGAAAATAGTATTCTAAAATGTTGCCTTCAGTAGTGGAAATATACATTTACAATCCTGGTATCTTTACTGCTATTCTTGCATGCATGGTAGTCTATGTGCAATTCAACTTGTAGGGCCCTAATTTTTTATTTCACTTTCCAGTTTTACTTTCTCTTATACGAAGTGTAGAGGAAGTATTGTAATCTTGCAAAAAATGTTTTAAAATCTTAATGTTTTACACCTCCCTGAGTCAGAAAACATAGTTTTGCAATTTTGATTAATGTATGTGTGTATGTATGTGTGTGTGTGTTTGTGAACACAATAACTTGAGTACCGTTACAGCTAGGTTGATGTAATTTCATGTATTAGTATTATATCAAATTTGTAGTTCTGCATCAATTTTTCAGTGATTTCCGGTAACCGGAAGTGAAACTTATTCAACTTTCAATTTTTCAAAAGCCTATAACTTGAGTACTGTTTCATTTAGATAGATGAAATTTCACATGTAAGTTAAAGATCTAATGTTCTGCCTTCTGTCAAATTTTAAGTAATTTCTGTTGACTGGAAGTAGTAATTCATGCTATTTTTTATTTCTAAAAAAATGCATGTGAATTTATAACGCACTTATAATATTCCGCACTATTATACACATTTTGTTTGGCGTTCACTTGGTGCGCAATTATTTTTTCTAAGAGATACTATTCTATTTTTAAAAGTTTTAGTAGTTAAAAAAATGGATTAAAAATCATGTCTATACCCCGAGTTGCCATCCTCCATATTCGAGAAAAATTACTGGAGATCACTCCTGGTTTATAAAACTATTAGCTCTTCTCCCCTTTACCATTTTATTTCTGAACCTTGAATTAATTCTGAAATCCTTCCAAAAGGTTACTGTTGTATTCCATCATTATTTTAAACAAGTAGAACTCATCAAATTTCAGTGATTCTAGTCGATCTTATTGTCTGTGACATAAACTAAAAAGTCAAAATAATTAAGCTCGTATGTGTTGAAGACTTTTGTTTTAAAAAAGTATATATACTATGTTCATTTTTAATAGATTAGGCATTATCGTTAAAAGAGCTGGACTGCTAATCCGTAAGTCTCGAGTTCGAATCCGGGTTCAACTCAGTAGACCGGTACTCTGATGGGTACCTAACTCAAGTTAGGGAAAGTAAAGGCGGCTAGGCATAGTGCTGACCACACTATCTCTTCATATGCCGAGGTCACAGAAACAAGTGAACTACACTTCACTTGCCCCATAGACCATCAGGTTTGAAAGGGAAACTTTACTTTATTATCGTTAAAATTTAAAAGAGATCCATTACAGTTAACATTTTCACGGTAAAACAAATGTATTTTCAATTTATTTATTTTTATTTTTTTGTGAAATAGAAAAAATGCAAATGTGTAAAGTTACAATTAACGACGATATTCCGTGTTTTTTACAAGCAATGGAAACCTTTTTTATTAAGATATTAGCTTTATAAAGCTATTAATTATTACAGTTAGAGTGTTGTATTACAACACATTATTTCTGCATAAAGCATAATGAGTCTGGTCTGAAATTTTTTTTTTTAAATTTTCCCTAGTCGGGTCACACCCTGTTATTTTTGTTTCAAGTGACTCAATGTTTTTCCCTAGTCGGGTCACACCCAGTTATTTTTATGTTTCAAGTGACTCAATGTGTTTTTCCCTTGTTGGGTCACACCCCGTTATTTTTATGTTTCAAGTGACTCAATGTGTTTTTCCCTAGTCGGGTCACACCCCGATATTTTTATGTTTCAAGTGACTCAATGTGTTTTTCCCACATTGATCTGCATACATATGCAGCTAACATTTTTTCAATGCATTTTATTAAGTTTGGTAGCTTTTCTTTTTCCTGCCATGCTGTAAAAATATACAGTCCCTTTATAGCTTTTTTAAAGCATCTTACATTTTTTTCCTCAAGAAGATATTGAAGAGGGTAGTAAAAAGACGACATTCTTGCTTAACCCTACCTGCGGTTTTAAAATATTTACCTATATTATTGTGGTAGTAAACTGCATGTTGTTTGGTCATATTCATTTTGATTTACTGAAGTGTAATATCCAATTGCTATTGTTCATTTTCCAATGTATTTCATTTATTTTCTTTACCATTGTAAATAAATTGTATTCGTAGTAAATTATTGGTGCACCATCAAAACTGCAAATGACTAATCGACACCGTCAAAGTGGTCCTCGACAAAGTGGTCCCCGACAAAACGATCCAGTCAAAATAGTCCCATTAAAGGGACCCTGACATTAAGGCTCCATATTGACTCACGTTATATTTTCTCCTGACAAATGAGCTTCTGAAAAATGGACTCACGGCCTATTGGCTCCTAACAAATAGGCTCACAATGTATTGGCTCCAAATAAATAAATTAGTATGAATATGGCTTTCCTACCACTACAACCTCTTTTAAATGCCTGAATGAAAAGAACGTTTATATGAACCAACAGCAATTCATAAACAAATGGAGCTCTTAACAAGGTGTCACATCATTTAGGGGGGGTGGGGGGTGTCTGGCTTTTTGTGATGATGTGTGATGGAGATGATGGGGAGGTAAAATCGTCAAAACAAAAATTTCATTAAAAAATATTTTAATAAGCTTTTATGTACTAATGCATTAAAAAGTAGAAAATAAATTATAGACTACTATTTAAATAACTGTAAAGAAATGTGTGGGTCACTTTAGTATCTATTGGATACCTTTACTAAGGTTTAGTACTTTTAAAGTGCATTACTACTTTTTAGTGCATTAGTACATAAAAGCTTGTTATTAAAACATTTTTATTAAATTTTTTTAGTACTTCACATGTTTTTATTTACAATAGAGTTTCATGACTAAAAACCATTGCGCGCCTATTGAATGTGATGACGCGTGTGGAGAAGCTAGATAGAAATGCCTACTAATTTGGTCAAAATTTTAATTAATTCATAAAAAATTATTAGGCATCCAATTATGTCAAATTTAATGTCATGATGCATTGTCTTCATGTTTTTACCCACGTTCCACCTAGGAAACGTATCTGTCAGATAGAAGTGCCTGCAGTTTCGCTCAGCCATTTCGATCTAGACAGACAGACTGACGACAGAGGAAGTGAGTAAAATAAAAGCTTGTAAAAAGTAAGATGTCATTTATGAATGACCTCTTGATAAGGGTCATTTTGTCGTGAGTTGTAATGATGGAAGCCGTTTTGTCAAAGCCTAAATGACAGGAGTCTATTTGTGGGAAGCTTAAATGACGTGAGTTTATTTGTCTGGAGCCTATATGTCACCTGCCCTTTAGACAGGGCCGTTTGATCTGTGTTTAGAATTAGGCTTATTCACAATGTAAAGTAGCACTGAAGTACAATACAAAGTAACTTTAAAAATAGCTCAAATATTTGTTAAAAAATATTAATGTGTATTTGTGTACAAGAAAATTTGAATTTGTTCGTTGAATTCGAAAACACATATGTTAGATATCTATTACTCTCAGAAATTAAGTCGATATATCTGTATGTCTTTTATTTGTTCTTCTTCTTTCTTAATATTTAGTGTTGGAAGGGATCGAGCCTCATCTGCCTGAGGGTTCGAACTTGAGACTTTTTGGTTTTGCAACCATGATCTTTACTGACTCGACCACACTGATCCCTTATCTGTAGTTAAAGTGTTACATATTCAGTACAATTACCTGAAGGCTAGTACATCTCTGATGACAATAGTTCACTCTATGTAAGGAAAGTTTTATTTTTAAAGAAGATAAGATACTCAGTAGTGCACAAGGTATTAACAATTGTATTTATATAAGAGGACACTTATCAGATAGTTGAGATTGCTACTGCTAACCCAAAAGTGTAGTTTTGTTCACAGGTTTGAGACTGTCCCTGAGTCCACCCAGCTCTGACGGGTACCTGACTCATGACACGGAAAGTAAACACTGCTTGGCATAGTGCTGACAACACTATCTGTTCATATGCAGAGGTCATTGAAACAGGTAAACTCTACTTCATCTGCCCCATGTGTCTCAGGCACAAACAGGAAAAGATGATAATTTAAAAAGCACGACCTAAAATGACAATTGTATTTATTCGACAATTTAGAACACTATCTGTTTTACTTCTATGGGAAAGAGTGGCCTAGCGATAGAGAGCTGGACTGCTAACCCATAAGTCTTGAGTTGGATCCGTAATCCGGGTTCAAGTCTTGACCCTGACTGAGTTGTTTGTGAGTAGTGTAGTTTAATTGTTTAGAGACTTGATTGAGAATCAAGTTATAAATTACTTTGTTTTAAGTTTTAACTAAGCACCACAAATGTCACTATTTAAATAGGTATAATCTAGTAAATGAAAGTACATTTTGGATTGTCTTGTGTTTTATTTCATTTAGTGTGATTGGTTATAAACACCTCTGTTCCTTTGAATGGTTGTAAACACCTCTGTTCCTCATAAATGTTATAAACACCTCTGTTCCCCATGAATGTTTATAAACACCCCTGCTCCCCTTGAATGCTTATAAACACCTCTGTCCTTTGAATGGTTGTAAACACCTGTTTTTATAAATAGAAAGATATATTAATTAGCCAACACATTTTTTATACAGAGTTGCTCTTAGTATATCGCCCATTTTATTACATTTGTCATTTACAATTAATAATCGAAGGTGATGTGAGGCCCTACATTCACAGACAGCTTAATACAACAATATAAAGAGTTATATGTAAATCAGACTATACATAGAATCTAGAATCCAAATTTTGACGCTTGTTTTCACATACATTTTTCATAGTTATCTAAATTCTTTTTTGTTTTATTTATTACACTCACAAGATAAGTAAATATTTCTTAACACAGCAAAACATAATTTATATTTCAACAAGATGTTTTTATGAAACATACGCTAGGTAGACCAAAAAAAATGTAATGTCCTATTTGTCAGATAGGAAATTTAACAAACAACAGAAGTATTCATTCTGGAGAAAAAACACATGAATGAAATGGTTATAATATAATATAAAAGTTATTTCTTAAGTGTACTTTATCTAAGCATAAAAGTGTTCATAATTTATAAAAACAGCATGGAGGATACTTATCAGAGATAGAAGATGAAGAGTGGCAGCCATCAATATTTTTTTTCAATTTTTTTTTTATGGTGAAATTCCATTAAATTTAACATTAGTTTCAATGGAATTTCGCCATACCAAATTTTGAAAATTCAAAAAAAATATTCCAGGGGTGTTTTCTGTTACAAAAACTAGCCTGCTAACTCTAATAGTGTTGGTATAAGAAGAATCAATGATTATATAGGCGATATATATGTTACTTTATGATATTTTAAAACTCCACAAAAGGTACTTTTTTCCAAGATGGCCGCCTTTGCCATGGCAACTATATTTTCAAAAGAGTCCCTGATGCTTGCAAATATATTCCTTTAAGTAGGCCTACCCTAACTTAGATATACACACACACAAAAATCAATAAAACCTTTTGATTGAGAAGTTGTTCTTTTCTGGAGCCTACCCCATTAAAACAAATTTCATTTTCCAAACTGATAGTGCAAATTGAGGCATGTGCATTAAAGAAAATGCATCACCCTTCACACAAACTCTAGAGATCTAATTGTGTCTTGAAAATTTATCTTTAGTCCTAATTACGTCTCTTGATAAATTAGGAAAACACTATTACTTAACTTTAAAAAAACTTTTAAATTGGGGGAAAAAAATTACATTTTATTCCTTAGTTTGGTGATAGGACGCAGTTGCGTAGCTACCGTAAAGCTAGCGAAAGCAAGGCATAGGGGCCCAAGACACTTAGGGGCTCTTTTTCCGCTTGAAAAAAAAAAAACTAAAACTGTTACACTGGAATCTTAATATTTTTATATGTAAATAATGTTTAAAAGAAAAAGGCAATCCAGTTTCATTTCTTCTCTAGAAATAACTGAAAGTTCCAAAAGGCCCGCAGTCCCTTCTTACTGTACAGGCATTGGCGTTCAGTGTGTTTGGGGATGGGGGGGGGGGGGGGGGGGGCAAACAGGGCCCATAAGGCGCTACTAACCGTATGAGATGTTGGTTTTCTTCCAATCGATAAGAAAATTTGGGAAGTCGTTGAGAATACTAAAGAAAGTAGTTTTTTTCCAGACATTTTTCTGAAAAAGTGCCTGAAAGAAATTGTCATTTATTCGGGAAGGTTTCTAGAATTTATTTTTGGATGGCGGCGCCCCGGAAGTAAGGCGGTGCTGTTTGCCACTCAAAGTATTCCTGCGGCTATCTTTGCACCTGGGGTCCGCAGCGGTCAAATTGCACAGGCGCATCAGCCGGCGCCCATATGGTCACGTAACCCAGTGCGCCATGGGCTCCCCCGTGACCTCTACGGCGCCTGTATTCGTTTTAATGAGCGCCATTCACTAGGAATATAGAGGGCTACTAAAATAGATAACCAAATCGAATAAAGGGTGTCCTCGATCACACCGAGATAGCCAGCGGCTACCTGAGTGCAAGGGATCCGTTGATTTCCCGTCCTGCAGTGGTACTACTTATTCAACAATCAAACTGCAACAGGGGCGGCCATCTTCGCCCCCGGCTTACGGATGACACCAAGCACTCGAGCATCCTTCGGTGGGCCTCTAGGTTCGATGATTAAACCGAGCAGGGGTAGCATCCGGCTACATAATAACGTCACTCCCGTGACACCCTTAGGCGGTCGCTGAAAGTTGTTCAACCTCACTATTACGGAGAATGTTTAACGTACACTCTATTATTTCATACAGCACGCCCAATGGCGTCTAACCGGTAGCGTGGACAAACCCGCGCCCCCAGCAACAAAGATCCGGAAAAAAACAGTGACGTTGTTTACCATTTAACTATCTCAGTTTTAGAAAATACGTTCACACGACTAAAAATACACAATTATTAACGCGTTGATGAAACCCTTACAAATTTTTTTAATACCCTTGTTTGCGGGACTAGCAGCAACGCGGACGGGTATTCTAGCCATAGATAAACATTCGACTGTTATCAGAAAGGAGATTTTGATGTCCATGATGGGATTTTTAAATCTCATTATTTGTTCATAATGCTGTTATTTTGTTATGAAACAAGTTGTACATATGCCCATTGGGTCAGTAACTTAGCCATCCTAAGTATCTAACGTACAGAAACAGCTAAAATATACCTCAGGGAACTTATAAATCATTTTGTAAAATTAAAAGCATGAAAAAAAACAGATCTGAATAAATCATTAGCATTTTTGAAAAATTGTGTTATTGGCGTCACAAGGTTGGGTGTTCCCCTGCGCATTTACCAAAGTTGTCACCCCATCATCCCCAACAACTTAGCATTTTCGGTGGGAGTGTCACCTCTCTCAGACTTATCTTTTATTATTTTAGCTGGATACATCAAGATTTTGACAGTAAATTTTACACTGTGTTGTCATGGTGTCACTCAGAAATGTCAGCCGATGCGGACCGCACCTATGCCCCCACCTAGCGACCCTGATGTGTTTGGTTACTTTAAAAACAAAAACAAATTAACTGTAAGCTTG